TAGAAATAATAGAAGGAAACCTGGAAAATCCACAAGTCTGTCAAAATTAAACAGTGCATTCTGAAAGAAGAATTATAAGAATTAGAAAATATTTTTGAGATAGATGGAAATGAAACCACAACACACCAAGACTAATAAGATGCACTGAAAGCAGTGCTCAGAGGAAAATTCAGAGCTATAAATTATAGGCCTATGTCAAAAAAGATGAGCACAAATCAATTACCTAACTTCACACCTTAAGAAACTAGAAAAAGAAGAGTAAGTGGAACCCAAAGTTAGAAGAAGGAAATAAAGTCTATAGCTGAGATGAATGAAACAGAGAATTAAAAAGCAATAGAAAGAATGAAAAGATCAACAAAATTGACAAACCATTAGCTAGACTGACCAAGAAAGTTAGAGGACTCCAATTATAACAACAGAAACAAATGTGGGGACATCAGTACAGACCTTACAGAAATACAAAGCATGGTAAGAGAACACCATCAACAAGCAGATGCCAAAAAATTGGACAACCCAGATGAAATGGACAAATTCATAGAAACACACAAGCTACCAAAACTGACCCCAGAAGAAATAGAAAACCTGAATAGACCTACAAGTAAAGAGATTAAATCAGTAATGAGAAACAAAATAAGAGGCATCCAGACTGGAAATAATGAAGTAAAACTATCTGTACATACAGGTGACACCATTTTGTATCTAAAAAAAAATCCTTAGGAATCCACAAAAGAATTAATAGGTGAATAAACCAGTTCAGCAGGGTTGTAGGATACAACACCAAGATTCAAAAGTTGTTTCTATTTCTGTATATTAGTGATGAACCATCCAAAAATAAAATTTAAAAAACAATTCCATTTAAAGAAGCATCAAGAAGAATAAAATACTTAGCAACAAACTCAACAAGTCTTCTACACTAAAAACTATAAGCTGTTGAAAAAATTTAAAGACCTACATAAACAGAGAGACAGGCTGTATTTATAGATTGAAAGACTAATATTGTTAAGATAGCAATACTCAAATTGATCTACACATTCAGTACAATCTCAATCAAAATGTCAGTTTCCCTTTTTGCAAAATCTGAAAAGCTGATCCTAAAAATCATGTGGAAGTGCAAGGGACCTCAAATACCAAAAACAATCTTAAAATAAAGAGAACAAAGTTCAAGGACTCACACTTCCCAATTTCAAAACTCACCACAAAGCTATAGTGATCTAGACTGTGGTACTGACATAGGAGAGACAGACATATATATCAATGAACAGGATTGAGAATCCAGAACTAAATCCTGACATTGATGGTCAACTGATTTTTCACAAGCATGCCAAGAAAATTTAACAGGGGAAAAAAGCCTGTTCAACAGACAAGGCTGAAATAACTGGATTTCCACATGCAGAGGATAAAGGTGGATCTCCATGTCAACCATATAGAAAAATTAACTCAAAATGGATCCAAGACCTAAATGTAAGAGCACAAACTAGACAACTCTTAGAAGAAAACAGGTGTCAAATGGTGTGACCTTGGATCAGGCACTGGTTTCTTAGATAGGACACCAAACATACAAGCAAAGAGGGTACATGGGACTTAGTCACAATTTAAAAATTTTTTGCATCAAAGGACACTATCAACAAAATGAATGGGAGAAAATATTTGCAAATCTTTATCTGATAAGGATCTAGTATCTGGAATATGGAAAGAATTCTTACAACTCAATAATAAAAAGATAACACAATTTAAAAATCAGGCAGAGGACCTGAATAGATGTTTCCCCAAAGAAGATATCCAGATGGCCAACATGTACATGAAAAGATGCTCAACGTCACTCATCACCAGGGAAATGCAAATCAAGACCACAATGAGATACCACCTCATGCTCACTAGTGTGGCTAGAAGCAAAAAATAAATAAATGAAATGAAAATAATGAGTGTTGGTAAGGATGTAGGGAAAATGGGTTCTTGCACACTATTGGTGGGAGTGTAAAAGGGGGCAGCCACTCTGGGAAATGGTTCTCCAGGGAGTGAAGCATAAAATTACCATATGACCAAGCAATCCCAAGAGAATTGGAAGTTATTTGTTCAGCCATATAAGAATGTCCTAGCAGCACTGTTCACAACAGCCAACACTGGGATCAACCACAACGTCCATTAGCTGATGAAAAGGTAGACAAAGCGTGGGACACAATCCACGTTGTGGAATGTCACTGTGCCGAACGTAAGAAGGAGGCTCTGTACTCTGCACGCAGTAAAACACGGATGGACCCTGGAAACACGATGCTCAGTGCAAAGAGCCAGAACCGAAAGGCTACATGCTATGTGATTCCACTTAAATAAAATGTCCATGATAGGCAAATCCAGAGGCAGAAAGTGGATTCGTGGTTGCCAGAGGCTGGGGGAAGGCAAACACGCAGTGATTGCAGGTTTGGCATTTCATAGGGCCGTGAAAATGTTCTAGAACTAGGTGGTACTGTGGTCACACAACTTTGTGAATGTACTAAAAACCACAAAATTGTACACTGTAAAAGGGTGGATTTGTGGCATTTTACTCAATTAATCTGGCACTGGTTCATGCTCAGCCTCCTGCCCTGAGCCAGCCACTGCCATCCAGAACTTTCCAGACACCCCAACATATGCACACTCCCTGAGTGCCACCCACCTGACACACTTGGGCTCATCCTCCAGGACACTCCTGCCTGGCAAGCCCAGGTCTCCTCTCTTGCCTACCTTGCCCCCAGAACTCTGGTCCCGAGGCCAGAATTCAGTGTCTGGATGGGAGGTGGCCCAGCCCATGCTGCCCCCAGAGGGCCAGGGATGGTCTTACTGGCAGAGTCTCTCAACAAAGCCCTAGAAGCTCCATTACTACTTCACAGATGGGGAAACTGAGTCACAAGGAGCAACTGCACGAGGTCCCAGGGTGGCAGGATCAAATGGCCACAAGCAGGGGGCTTTGTCCTCTCCCAGGTCTGGAGGCCAGGAGTCTGTGGTCAAGGTGTCGCAGGGCTGTGCTCCCTCTGAAGGCTCCAGGAGGGTCCCTCCTGCCTCTCCCAGCTGGAACGGGTGCCCAGGCATTCTGGGTTCATGGCCGCGTCTCCCCAGTCTCTGCCTCTGCCACTGCATGGCCATCTCAAATCCCCCTTTCCCTTCTCTCCTACAGACACCTGTCACGGGACTCAGGGCCCACCCTGAGCCAGGATGCTCTCACCTCGACATCCCCACTTGATCAGCTCTACAATCAGGATGCTCTCACCTCGACATCCCCACTTGATCAGCTCTACATTCAGGATGCTCTCACCTCGATCACCTTGATCACCTCTACAATCAGGATGCTCTCATCTCAACATCCCCACTTGATCAGCTCTACAATCAGGATGCTCTCACCTCAACATCCCCACTTGATCACCTCTACAGTCAGGATGCTCTCACCTCAATCACCTTGATCACCTCTACAATCAGGATGCTCTCGCCTCGACATCCCCACCTTGATCACCTCTACAATCAGGATGCTCTCACCTTGACATCCCCACCTTGATCACCTCTACAATCAGGATGCTCTCACCTCGACATCCCCACCTTGATCACCTCTACAAAGACCCCGTTTCCACATATGGCCACATTCTGTGGTCCAGGCAGACATGAGAAGCAACACAGAGAACTTGCCCAAGGTCACCCAGCAGGGGTGAGATCTGACCCTGTCCACACTCTGACCCCAGCACTGCCTGCCTTGAAGGGGGTGTCCAGACTCAGGGTGCAGCCACCCCATGTGGGCACGGAGTGGTCCCAGGACACACACAGGCTCCTCAGCCAGACCCAGGCCAGCCACTCAACCACAGGCCCACCTCCCACACCCTCGACATCCCACTGCCCAGACAGTAAAGCCAGGGACTCATTTCTCCAGGCTATCTGCAGTGGGCTGTGGCCATCAGAGCTGTTTTAAGCCACTGAGTTTGCGATAATTGTTGCACAGCAATAAAAAATGAACCAAAAACACCCCCTGCATGTTCTTCCCACCTTGAATATGATGGCTCTAGCCACATGTGGAAGCCATCTTGTGACCATGAGGCAATGAGCATTAGGAAGACCCTTATCTCGTGCTCAGGGTGGCAGAGAACTAGAGCCAGACAGAGGCTGTGTCCCTGCGGTGTCCCTGTGGGAGACTGTTACAAATGGTCCCTGATGAGCCAAGCCTCCCTGTATCCACACCCTCAGCAGTGGGTTCTGCTTCTCCCCCACCTGGAAGCCAGGATTTGCACAGTGGAACGTGATGGAGGTCACACTCTGAGCACAGGCCAAACCCGCCCTGTAGCACCTGCTGTTCCCTGAGGGGAACACAGCCACCATGTGAGGGAGCCCAGGCTGCCCACAGGGAAACATGGACCCTGGGGCGGGGATGCCATGAGGAGGGAATGGGGTCCCAGACACAGGAGTGAGACCAGCCAACATCACGAGGAGACAGAGGTTTGTCCTCTGGCCAGAGCCATGTATTGAAGTCACACTGCCGGGACGTCGGATGCACGGACGAGGCCAGGCTGGATCCTCTTGTCCCAGCCCACACCTCACGGAGCAGAAATGGGCGGCCTCACCAAGCCCTGCCCGAGACCCCGACCACAGAGCCAACTGTTTCCAAGGTTTGGGGGTATTTGTTACTTGGCCCGAGACAACTGACTGATACGAGCCTGACCCAGCCCCCTCCAAAACACCTCCTCTGGGCCTGTTCCTGGGATGTGGACACGTCGGCGTTGTCAACTGACCTGTGACATGCACCAGACCCAACCTCTACCCTCTGCCTGGGCCTCAGAGGGATGCAAGACCATGCATGCCCAGTGGGCCAATCAGACGGCACACCAACCTGTGGCCATCGCCCTCTGACCCATCACCCCCAGCTCAGCTACGCCAGGACACCCAGGTGAGCCCACATCAGCTCACATGGAATGGCCATCACTTTTGTCTGGACTGGAAACCAGGCACAACCCTCCCAGACAAGGCTAATTCACATCCCCATCACTGACCTGCCACGTCCAGGTGGAAGGACACCTTCTGGCCCCCGGCCTCACAGCTGTACTCCCCAGCGTCCGCCTGGCCCACCTGCTGCACCACCAGCCGCCTGCTGCAGCCCTTGGCCTCCACGTGCACTTTGGAGCTCGCACTCAGCTTCTTCCCATCCTTGTGCCACGTCACCTCTGTCTGGGCCTGGGCCACCTCACAGCTCAGGGTGGCGCTGGCCCCCGCCTTGGCCTGCACCTCCCTGCGTGCTGGCTGCTCCTTGGCAAACACCACAGACGGCTCTGGGGACAGAGAGGGATGCACTCAATCAAAGTCACCATGTACATTAGTAACACTGGGGGAAGAAAGACCAAAGAGGGAGGCAGGGGACCTAAAACTTCTCAGGCTCTGCATCCGCTGTGTGGTCTGGAAACCCCGACTGGCTTCTTGAAAATGAGTAACACAATCTATGGACCCATGTGATCAACACTGTGCGTGGGAGAACATACATTCTCTCACTGCTCTGCATGGAGCGTTCAAGCTCCACGTTGGCTGACCTAGTGAGGACCCTACATTCTACCGCTCCTCCACGAGTGCTCTTCCAGGTGGGACCATACAGTCTATCACTGCTCCAACTGGACTGTCCCTGGTATGGACCATAGAGTCTATCACTCCTCTATGAGGTCTGTTCCAGGTGGGACCACACATTCTTTTTTTTTTTTTAATTTACTTTTATGATGTTATGTTAGTCACCACACAAGACCACACATTCTATCACTGCTAACCGTGGGCTGTTCCAGGTGGGGACCAGACATTCTATCTCTGCTCTACATGGGCCGTGCCTGGTGGGGACATAACATTCTATCACTGATCCACATAGGCTGTTCCAGGTGGGGACCACACATCATACCACTGCTCCACGTGTGCTGTCCCTGGTAGGGACCATACAGTCTATCACTGCTCCATGTGGGCTGTTCCAGGTGGGAACATTCATTCTATCACTGCTCCATGTGGGCTGTTCAAGGTGGGACCATACATTCTAACCCTACTCCACGTGGGCTGTCCCAGCTGGGACAATATATTCTACCACTGCTCCAGGTGGGCTGTTCAGTTGGGAACCAGACATTCTATCTCTGCTCTACATGGGACATGCCTGGTAGGGAACATACATTCTATCACTGCTCCACGTGGGCTGTTCCTGGAGGGACCATACATTCTATCAATGCTCACCTGGTCTGCTCCAGGCAGGGACCTTACATGCTGTCATTGATTCTCCTGGACTGTTCCCGGTGGGGATCACCCATTCTATCCTTACTCCACTTGGGCTGTCCCAATGGGACAATATATTCTACCACTGCTCCAGGTGGGCTGTTCAGGTGGGGAGGAGACATTCTCTCTGCTCCACCATAGGGACCACTCATTCTATCACTGCTCTGCATGGAGCGTTCAAGCTCCACGTTGGCTGACCTATTGAGGACCCTACATTCTACCACTCCTCCACGAGTGCTCTTCCAGGTGGGATCACACATTCTATCACTGCTCCACGTGGGCTGCTCCAGGTGGGACCATACCATCTACCACTGCTCCAGGTGGGCTGATCAGGTGGGGACCATACATTCTATCACTGATCTACGTAAGCTGTTCCAGGTGGGGACCACACATTCCATCAGTGCTCCATGTGGGCTGTCCCAATTGGGACAATATATTCTATCACTGCTCCCCGTGGGCTGTGCCAGGTGGGGACCACACATTATGTGACTGCTCTGCGTGAGCTCTCCTAAGTGGGGACCATCGCTTGGAACACCAGTCACAGAGCACAAGTATACCCAAACCTCCCATGTACACGTTCCCATCCAAACTCTCTTGCCTCAGCCACGTGTATGAGAATAGCAGGCGGGAGGAGGGACATGTGAAGGGAGATGTTCAATGAAAGTGTTCCAGAGTCTGTCTGAACTCTATGCTATTCCCATCATCACCCTCGATCAAGGCTAGAGTTTGAACCCAAATTACTGACCTGCCACGTCCAGGTGGAAGGACACCTTCTGGCCCCCGGCCTCACAGCTGTACTCCCCAGCGTCCGCCTGGCCCACCTGCTGCACCACCAGCCGCCTGCTGCAGCCCTTGGCCTCCACGTGCACTTTGGAGCTCACACTCAGCTTCTTCCCATCCTTGTGCCACGTCACCTCTGTCTGGGCCTGGGCCACCTCACAGCTCAGGGTGGCGCTGGCCCCCGCCTTGGCCTGCACCTCCCTGTGTGCTGGCTGCTCCTTGGCAAACACAGCTGCAGGCTCTGGGGACAGAGAGGGATGTACGGTCAGAAGCCCCACTGCGGTGAGGGCCCCCAAGTCCTGGAGCCAGGGCACAGCATGCTCTAGACTCCAGGCAACCCTGGGAATCATTCACGGTCAGGTGCTGCCGGTAGGACCCTCCTCGGGCACAGGGGGACCTGACGCCGTGACCCCTCCTAGGCATGGCGGGGAGCAGCTTCTGAGCACCACGATGGAGAGCCAGGCCAGTGCCTGGGGACAGACAGAGGGAGGCCTGGGGGGCAGTGGCCGAGAGCCTACTAAGGGCTGGGCCTCAGACAAAGCTGGACTCAGAATCTGCCAAGAGGCCCCTAGAGTTTCTAGAAAGAGCCAGGGCCTTAGGCATCAAGATCCCAATCTAAGCTGCTGAGAACGCTTCCAGCACCTTTTGGGTCCTGCCTGCCTCACTTCTTCATCTTCAAAGGAGAAAGGGGGCTGCGAATTTCCCTCTTATCTTTTCTTTTCCACACCCACGTCTTTTCTCATCTAAATGTTAGTTCTGTGGGAAGTTTCTTTTCCCAAATCCAGAAGCGACTGCCCCTCCCGGGCATTCTTGGAAGAAAGGAAGGGCCGGACAGCCTGGCCTCACAGGTCCTTGATGCAGCCGGACCTGCTCCCCACCCACCAAGCCCTGGAGGCTGCAGCTCACCGGAGACACGCAGCTGGAAGTCCACGGAGTCCTCACCCATGCGGCATGAGTAGGTACCCTCATCCTGCCTGGTGACCGAGGCTGCCACCAGCCGGTGCCGCGTGCCCACGTCCTCCTGCGAGAAGCGCTGGCTGGAGCGACTGAGCTCCGTGCCGTCCTTGTACCAGCGCACGCGCACGTGGGCCTCAGAGGTCTCACATTCGAAGTGGGCTGGGCCTCCAGCCACGGCATCCACACAGCCACCAGCTGTGTCCTTGTGCAGAAAGGGAGTGAGCCCTGCAAGGGCACACGGGCGGTCAGGCGAGCAGCAGAGCCCCGGCCACACACACACCCACGCGGAGAGCAGACGGAGACGCCTGGGGCCTGGGGGCCTCACCCAGACCAGGGTCCCCTCCGGAGGCAGGTGTGGGACGGGGCCTGGGGGCCTCACCCAGACCAGGGTCCCCTCCGGAGGCAGGTGTGGGACATGGTGCGTGAGCCTGGGCTCAGGGGGCACCACCTGCTGCGAGGAAGCCCCTCCCCCTACTGAGCAGAGTCTCCCCTCCCCATCCTCGCCCACCCCACCCCCACCTCGCTACAGGGACGGTGAGCAGTGGCTCCCAGCGCCCAGACCCCTGGAGTCCGCCCCGAGCTGGGGAACAGAGGGTGCGGCCGTGACCATGGTGGACGTGGACACACACACAGCGGGATCACCTTGCACCAGGAGCTGGTAGGCGACGCGGCCCCCACGGCTGACACACTCGTAGAGGCCAGCGTCGTCTCGCACCACGTCCCGCACCAGCAGTGCCCACTGCCCGGCCGTCGCCTGCACCTCGTACTTGGGGCCTGGTGGCAGCGCGTGGCCGTCCTTCAGCCATGTCACTGCCGCAGCCTGGTCTGACAGCTCGGCCAGGAGCTGCGCCTCCTCATGCAGCCGGGCCAGCACTTCCCTCACAGCTGCCACTGGACGCTTGGTGGTCAGTCCTGGGGCCGCGCGAGGCCACAGACAGGTGGACAGAAGGTGCGTGGACAGAGAGGGGGAGTGGACAGTGGGGGATGGGACAGAGGGAAGAATGGACAGGGGATGGGCAGAGGGGGAGCGGACAGTGGGGGAGGGAAAAGAAGAGGCATGGACGAGACAAGTGCACAGAAGGTGCGTGGACAGACAGGGGGAGTGGACAGTGGAGGAGGCGAAAGAAGAGGCATGGACAGAGGAGAAGGGGACGGGGGAGGAGACATTGGGGTATGGGCAGAGGACATGGACGGGGGAGGGGACATAGAAGGAGTGAAGAGAGAAGAGTGGACAGAGGTGCACAGAGAGGATGGACAGGGAGGGGAGGGGACAATGGAGAGTGGACAGAGTGGGGAGAGTCAGGTATGCGGGAACAGGGAGAGGCAGGAAAGGAAGAGACAAGATTACAGGGTGACAGAAGGAATCGGCAGGGAGGAAGGGGAGTTTGGGGATGGAGAGGAGCAGGCAGATAGAAGACTGAGGCTCTCTAGCCCCTCCTCCACTCGCACACTGTGGCCGAGGCCACTGCCAGCCCTGGGCAAGCTGCCTCACACCGCCCTCCCCTGCCCAGCCCTGCCTCATCCAGGAGACCACCCAGGAGCCCACCTGCCCCGGGACAAGCAGCAGCTCTAGGAGCCCCCACCCCACCCCTGGGGCAGACGCCTGGGGGCCACAGCTGGGGTCCTCCTACCTCGGACCTCCATGCGGATGCTGCTCTCGATGCCGTTGGCCACGAACTTGAGCTCCGCGCCGTGCAGGCTGGCAGACACGGAGCGGATGGTGAGGGCGTGCCGTGTGCCCTCGTGACGGATCACGTACATGCCGCTGGCCTTCAGGGCCCGCCCGTCCAGGAACCACTCGCCCGCCGAGGCCAGAGTGAGGTCCACGGAGAAGGTCACCTCGCCACCCTCCACGGCCTCCACTGCCTTCAGAGGCGTCCTCAGGGCCAGCTGGGGGGCTGCAGGGTGAGGGCTTCAGAAGGAGCCAGGCTCCACCCTCCTCCCTCCTCCTCCTGAGCCTGGGCCCAAGCGCCCCTTCCCCAGGAAGCCCACGGTGCAGGCACACTTACCCAGGTGGACAGTCCCTGGGAACTCCAGGCAGGGACTGTGGCCAAAGCTGTTCACAGCTGACACCCGGAACTGGAAGTCCCCCTCCTCGGACACGCCTGCCACAGTCAGCTCACGCACATCCACCCACTTGGCCTCGTGGCACGGGCTCCAGGTGTAGGCGCCAAGCCGCTTCTTTTCCACCAGATAACCATCGATGGGGACAGAGCGGTCCCCGTGGGGTGGGGGGGACCAGCCGAGGGTCACGGAGCTCTCTGTCCTGGCCTTTACCTCAGGGGCCTCAGGGGCATGCAGGGGCGGCTTCCTAGGGGCTGGGTAGAGCACAGCCCCAGGACGTCACTGACTGGGAGCTCCCTCCCCAAGCCCTGGGTCCAAGGTCAACCCCCCTCCTGGGGGCGTGCTTTCCCCATCCGCACTGTCCATGGCCCGAGGGATGCTGCAGGCCCGTAACCCCTGGCCCCAGCCTTGTGGCCCCTTCTCTGGTTGCAGTGGAAAGAGTGCTCTGGCTTTGGGGACACGCAGTCCAGGGCCACCACAAGCTGTCCAGGGGGTTTGGCGACAAACCCCTTCTGTGTATCCAGGTCTTGGTCCAGGCAGTGACCAAAGCAGGGTGCGGGGACCCTTCTGAGGGTACTGACCCCAACAAAGGGCTGACCCAGTGGGGGCGGTGGGAGGAACTACTCCCAATCTACAAATGTGATACCAAAGGCCACAGAAAGAGGCCACACTCACGCACAATGTCCCACACCCGTCTCACCCACATGTGTGCCCCTGGAACAATCTGTGCTTTCTACTTCGGTTTGCAGAGTGGGGGTCACCAGAACTCCTACTCTGCAGTCACCTGGGGTGACCACAGTGAAGGAGGGCAGCAAACAAACCAGTGGTCCGAGGAAACTAGAGCTATGACCCATTGGTCCAGCCCCCGAAGCCCTCCCTGCAGCAGACGGGACTGCACAGTGCGGCCCAGTGGACAGAGGAAGGGGAGAGGGCCCTGTCTGTCCAAGGGGCCCCCCCCAGGCCCTTACCAGACACAAAGAACTGCGTGGATGTCCGGCAGTCCCCAGCCGTGAAGGTCACCTCGCCCATGTCCTCCAGGCTGCACTTGGAGATGGTCAACGTGTGGCACGTGCCTTCCGTGGTGATGGCCACGCGGCCCCCAGCCACCACCTCCTCCTGGTTCCTCAGCCAGTGGACGGAGTCCTCCGGCCTGGCCAGCTCCACACAGAACATGGCCGTGTCCCCCACTCGCACCACGGTCTTCCTCGGGAGCTTCCGGATGAGGTTGCCTGCGGTGGACAGGGCCGGGGGACTGGTCAGACGGGGGGCGGGAGGGGGGCCTGCCCACCCGTCCTCCTCCGAGCCCACCTTCCGCCCCTGCCCCGCCCCCCGCCCCTGCTCGCCCCCCCTCCGAGCCCACCTTCCGCCCCCTGCATGGCCCCCACACGGCCCCTGCCCCGCCGCTCCTCCGCGCTCCTCTCCAGCCAGTCCTGCCCCTTCCCTCCCCTTCCCCACCCCAGCCCCGCGCGACCCCCGCCCACCTTGCACCGCGAGCTCCGCCACCGTGCGGCTGCCCTCCGCAGTCTCGCAGATGTAGACGGCGTCGTCGTCGGCCGAGACGTTGCGCACGGTCAGCCGGCGCTCGGTGCCCGCCTCCTCGATGCCGTACTTGGCGCTGGCCCACAGCCGCGTCTCCTCCTTGTACCACGCGGCCTCGGTGGTCGGCAGCTCCACCTCGCACTGGAACGTGGCCGACTCCCTCTCCTGCACCTCCAGGTCCTGCAGCCGCTTCCTGAAGGGCACCGCGGGCTCTGCGGGGAGAGGGCGCGTGAGCGGGGCTGGGGCGGCGGGCCTGAGGCCGGTGGGCCGGGGAGAGGAGCCGGGAGGAGGTGGAGGGGGGTGGGGCGGCGGAGAGTGGGGTCAGGGCAGGAAGTAGGGCAGGTCAAGGGGCTCCTTAGTTGGAGTACGGGGCTGGAGTGGGGGCAGGGGACCAGGGCAGGGGGTGGGTGGGAAGCAGAGGTGCAGCAGGAATGAGTCCAGGGAGGTAGGGGGATGGAAGGGGGGCAGGGGAGAGGGCACAGAACGTAAAGAGCCCCCTCCCCTTAAATAGAAGATGTCTGGAAACGAGGCACGTAAAGCCCCAAAACAGCCCAGTGAGGCTGCTCCCGGGCCGCAAAATCCGCAGGGCTCACGCTCACAGCCACGCCAGCAGTGAGGCAGCGGGACCAGGGCTGGCCGCCGCGCAACCCCCTGAGCGCCGGCCGTCGGCCAAGCCCGGCTGCCCTGCGCACTTTTCCCTGTGCAGCTTCTGCAGGGCGCCCCGAGGAACCGGGCCATTTACCCGCTGGGGCGATGGTACTGTGGCGCGCACAGAAGGTTGGAGCGCCCTGAGACCCTCCAGCGGGACAGAAGTGGAGGTGGGTCTCTGGTCTTAGGAGTCTCGCCAACACAACCTCTTATGTTGCCCACGCTTTCCCCCAGAACCCTGGGGGAGGCCCAGACCCCTACAGGGGTCCTCAACAGGAGCCTCTAAACTGCCCAGAACCGCCTTCCGGCTCAACCTGGAGCGGCCCCAGCCCCGGCCCTACCTTTCTCCCCACTCTGCCAGGGAGACCCCCTTAGCATCCTGTGAGAGAGGTGGAGTGCCAGGGTCACCAGGGCCATCTCCCAGGAGGAGGGGGCGCTGAGGACAGAGCGCTTTGTTATTCACTCATGCGACTCTCACAAACAATGGGACAGGCTGGGGGTCATCCGCTGTCACCCTCATTCTGTGGCTCTGGAAACGCGAGAGCCCGCCAAGACCTCTACCTCCGGATTCCGCGACGGATTCCATTCCAGGTGGAAAGGACTGGGGGGAGGGGCTGGGGAGGCGCTTCTCGGCAGCGACCACGCGCAGAGATCGTGCGCCCAGCACCCCGAGCTCACCTCGCACGACGACCTGCACGGAGCTGTAGGTTTGGCCCACCAGGTTGGATGCCGTGCAGGTGTAGAGGCCCCGGTCTGACTGCTTGCAGAAGAGGATCTTGAGCACGAAGTTCTCCTGAGCGTCCTCGTACACCACGTGTCGCCGGCCCTCGACCACCAGCTGCCCGTCCTTCTTCCATACCGTCTCGGGCTTAGGCTCACCCGTCACGTAGCAGCTGAGGCGCGCGTGCTTGCCTTCAGTCACGGTGCAGGTGCGCGTGCCAGAACCGGGTGGCGAGGCCGGGGCGCCCTCAGCGCGCATCGCCTCGCGCCGCCGCTTTAGGTGCTCCAGAAGCGCGGCTGTGGAGGCCCCGGGAGGGCCGGCAGCGTCTGCATCCGCGTCCACGGTGAGCGCGGCGTCGGCGCTGGCGGCGCCCAGCGCGTTCTCGGCGCGCACCGTGTAGGTGCCACCGTCGCGGGCCTGCGCTGCCTGGATGCGCAGCGCGCTCGCCTCGCCGCTGGCCTCCACGCGCACTCGGGGGGCGTCGGGCGCGCCCAAGCGCCGCCCGTCCTTGGCCCAGCTCACCGCCAGGGGCGGCGAGCCGCGCACGCGGCAGCGGAAGGTGGCCTCCGCGCCCTCGCGCACGCGGATGGACGTGGGCCGCAGAAGGAAATGCGGCGCCTGCTCGGCGCAAGCGGCCTCAGCGTCCACCTGCAGGCCGACAGCCGCGAAGGCCTCACCGATGGCATTGCGCGCGCGGCACACATACTGCCCACTGTCGCCCAGTGCCAGGTCCAGGATGGCGAGACGGTACAGGTCGCCGTCCTGGGCCAGGCGGAAGCGAGCGCCCGCCTCCACGGGCTGCTGGTCCTTCTCCCAGGTCACCTGCGGCGTAGGGTTGCCCACGATCTGGCAGCTCAGCGTGGCGTCCTTGCCCACCGACACCACAAAAGCCTTGGGCCGGGTCAGAAATCGGGGTGCCCCACTGAATGAGTGATCCATGGTGGGGGGTGGGGGCGGTGGGAGGGACCTGCGAGCGAGGTGGGGGAAGGTCATAGTGGGGATGAGACCCAGGTACTGTTCGGGTCCCCCCCTGCGCCCCACCTGGCCAGTTCCTCCTGAAGAACCCAGGCTGACCCAGGATGGACGCGCCCCCCTCCCCCGCCACCGCCTCATCTGCCCCCACCCCCGCAGGTCCAGAAACTCAGATTTGCCACCTTCTGGGCACTTGGAGTCTGGTGCCACCCCCCCCCACAACAGGCTTTTCTAACAGGTGGGTGTATCCCCTTCCTGTACCCCCAGCTCTAGCCCCACACCCCAACTCCAGGGCCAGTTGAGAACCTGTCCCAAAACACCACACAGCAACCTGGCTGGTCCCCCTCTCTGTTCGGCCTCCCTACCTGGGGGCCACGCTGTACCTCTCCACACAGACCTGCCTCTGTATGTGTGTTCCCCGCCCCCCCTCCAGCTGCCTTCGGGTGACCAGTCCCCCTCCCCACACACCGCTGACTCCTGGAGTCTGAAACTCCAATCTGCCCATGTCTCCCCTACTCAAAGAGGTGGCAGCTCTCTGAACCTGGACAGGGCCTGGCCAAGGGAGGTGCCTGCTGCTGGCTCGTCCCTCTCTGAGTGCGGTGCCCCAGAGGTCACCAGTTCTCCGTCCCAGGAGGCTCCCCTTTGAGCCCCTGCCCCTTCCTCCTCCAGGTGACTCAACCTCCGAAGCCACACTTCTGGCTCTGTGCACCTCAGCTCTCCCCGCCCCGGCAGCACACACGACAAAAGTCCTGTGTACTGGGCCTGTCAGCTCCTCTCCAGGGTTCCCACTCGCCTCAACCCTGATGAGCAGGGAGATTGGACACCCTGCTGCCAGGTGGACTCCTTACAAGCCGGCCCCGAGCCCACTGAGCTGCCCATACCCGCTCTCTGGGAGCACCCGCTCCTCCCTGGGGGACGGCACATAGCCCGCTGTGTGCCCAGGGAGGACAGGCGGAGAGTCCCCTGGGAAGAACCAGGGATGTCGGGCTGAGACTGGCCAGGTCGACTGGCCGGGCCTGGTCACTCCACAGACTTTGTGTCTCCACTGGCTGAGAGGACCCTGTGGGGACAGGTCGGCACCCCTCATACTGAAGGCCCCAGGTGACTGGCCTCTGCCTACCCCTTGCAGGCCCTGGCTGGCCTTCAGCACAGGTGGGTAAGGTGAGCATGGGCCTGGCCTACCCCCTCCCTCCGTAAGAATAGCAGACCCCTGGGCTCGGGGCTGGCCCCAAGCGCCTTAACTCCCTCCCCAACCCAGGGCTGGGCTTCCAGCATGGGCTGCCTACTGGGGGACAAGTGGGTGATGTTCTGGGCCCTCGGGCTCCTGTCCTGTGATTCAGGGCCTAATCTCCCTTAATCCCCCTCGAGGAGGTGAGCCCGCACCAGCCTGCTGACTCACTGTGCAGTCAGCACCTCTGTCCCCTGCCCCCCACTGCCTGGCCAAGTTCTGGGGCTGGGAGGCCCCGGGCGGGCGGTCACCCGAGCCCCGCCTCCATGGACGCCCTCCTGGGCCTTGATGTCCCTCTGGGGAAGGGTTACTCTGACTCCAGGTCTCCAGAGGCCCTGAGCTCTGAGCTCCCAGTGCCCCCCTCCTCAATCACAGTTGGTCTGCGGGTACCCCTGAGACAGGACACTGCATCCTCACCCCCACCACTCCAGGTGCACGTATGGGAGCAAGGTGCTCCGAGCTCATGAGCAGGCAGGGGCAGAGGGCCACCTCCATAGCTGGTGGTCTCTGGGGGCCACCAGCTATGGAGGTGAGAGCTCCCATTGCTGCATGTGCTTAGGGGGAACCAGCCCAGGTGGAAAGGGGGCTTAGGGGGATTCCATTCCAGGTGGAAAGGACTGGGGGGAGGGGAAAGAGAGCTCCCATTGCTGCATGTGCTTAGGGGGAACCAGCCCAGGACCTTGGCAGGTGACAGGCTGATCCTGGACTGGGAAGGATGGGCAGAGACCCCAAGATCTTCTCGGACTCCCAGGGATGGTCCTGATGCCTGGCGCCCTGGTGAAGGGCCTGGGCTCCCCACCTCAATGCAGCAGACCCATGAGACCTGGGGGCTCCCACACACTCAACCGCCTCTGGGCAGGCATCCCCACTGGTCCACAGAGCCGTAGTGCCCTAAATGCTGGCCCAAGGACTCCAGAGCCACACTCCTTCAGGCCAAAGGGGGGCACCCTCTGGGGGCCCCCAGAACTCCCACTGGACTTGGACATGCAGCGGTGAGGCAGGAGGCTCAGGAGGGGACACCCGGCCAGGACCTCAGCCCCAGCCTCCCAGGGAAGCCCCTTCCTTCCTCAGAGTGGACTCCTCACTCCGTGGAGGTCCCAACTTGGCAAGAGTCTCCCTCCACAAGGAGACCATGACCTCCCCACCCCCACCTTGGGTCATGCCTCTGGAGCCTCGAAGTCCCTAGGGCTGACCCAAGCCCTGCCCACAGCCTCCATCCTTGGATTTCTAGAGCTTGGCCCATTTGGGGTCCTCCTCATGGGGCCAAGTGGGAAGTGGCTTGCAGCCTGACTGAAGAACCTTGGTCCCCTCCTAGGAGCCCCTGCTGCCCCCCCTCAACCCTTCCAGAAAAGACTTCCACCACAGCTCCTGGAGTCTGCGCCTCCCCCTAGACCCCTGGGCTGGCGGCTTCCCGAACTCCCGGGGAAATTCTTTCCTGGAGTCAGGTGTCAGTGCCCCTCTGGCTGTCCCCTCTGCTGAGCCAACAGGCCCAAAATAGCCCCAGCTGTCAGCGGGCATCCATCTCAGCAGAGATGGGGGCAGGGCTGGCCAGACCCCCAGGCCTCACTTAGAGCAAGAGGCCACGAAGGAGGAGGTGGATGCGCCCCCGGTCCCTGACCTCCCACCCCACTGCTCCCCCGCCGCCCGCATGAGGGCCTAGCTCAGGTCACCATGGTGTCAGGGGCTGGATCCCAGGGCCCCAACGCTTGGAGCTACACAGCCTGGCTGGACACCCCTCCCCAGGCCTTCTGCACCCCAGCCCTGACCTTCAACCGAACAGCCCTGGAGGAGAGGGGCTTGGCCTGGGATGGCCCCCCACCCTGCCCACTCCGCCTGCTCACCTGTCTTTAAGGGAGGCTGGGAGCAGCACCCAGGCGTGGGGCGCAGAAGATGGAGCAGGGGCTGCTGGGTCTCACCTCCCGCCACGGGCCCAGGACCGACACAGCTCCCACCCAGCAGCCCACTCTCTGGTCAGTCCTCAGACTGGTCGGGGACGAAAGGACAGGCCGATGCTGTCAGCTGGAGAAGGCTGGGCCCGCCCCCACAGCCGGCCAACCCAGCCCAGCCCAGCCCAGCTCCAAAATAGCCCGGGTGTCACCGCCTGGGATTTGGTTTCACCCCCAGCCCCAGGGAGGCAAAGGGCAGAGGCTCTGGGTGGTCAGCTGTGGGGGTGGGGGGGCAGCAATGATGTGGGTGGGACCGGGACCCCACCTGGTGGGGAACCCTGCTCAGACTAGCGTCCTAGAGTACAAGACAGGAAGGAGCCCAGGAGACCGAGGACCACCCAGAGGGTCATCCAAGACCACCTCGAAGGGAGCTGGGGCCACCCAGAAAGGGACCCAGAACCAGCCAGAGGAGACCCAGGACTGTCCAGAGGAGAGCCAAAACTTTCCAGAGGGGAGTGGGGGACCTGGGACCACCCAGAAAGGGACCCAACCATGCAGAGGGACAGGGGGACCCGGGGCCAGCCAGAAAGGGACCCAGAACCACCCAGAGGAGACCCAGGACTGCCCAGAGAAGATCCAGAACTGTCCGGAGGGGAGAGGGGGACCTGGGACCTCCCAGAAAGGGATCCAGAACCAGCCAGAGGGTCAGAGGGACCCCTTGCCACCAGAAAGGGATCAGAACCACCCAGAGGGACAGGGGGACCCAGGGCCAGCCAGAAAGGGACCCAGAACCAGCCAGAGGGGACCCAGGACTGCCCAGAGGAGATACAGAACTTTCCAGAGGGGAGTGGGGGACCTGGGACCACTCAGAAAGGGATCCAGGACCACCCAGAGGGTCATCCAAGACCACCTCGAAGAGACCCTTTGCCACCCAGAAAGGGACACAGAACCAGCCAGAGGAGACCCAGGACTGTCCAGAGAAGATCCAGAACTGTCCAGAGGGGAGTGGGGGACCTGGGACCTCCCAGAAAGGGATCCAGAACCACCCAGAGGGACAGAGGGACCCCTTGCCACCCAGAAAGGGAACAGAACCACCCAGAAGGACAGGGAGACCCGGGGCCACCCAGAAAGGGACCAAGAACCAGTCAGAGGGGACCCAGGACTGCCCAGAGGAGATCCAGAACTCTCCAGAGGGGAGAGGGGGACCTGGGATCACCCAGAAAGGGATCCAGAACCACCCAGAGGGACAGGGGGATCCAGGCCACACAGAAAGGGACCCAGAACCAGCCACAGGGGACCCAGGACTGCCCAGAGGAGATCCAGAACTGTCCGGAGGGGAGAGGGGGACCTGGGACCACCCAGAAAGGGATCCAGAACCACCAGAGGAGACCCAGAAAGGGATCCAGAACTGTCCAGAAGGGAGAGGGGGACCTGGGACCACCCAGAGAGGGATCCAGAACCATCCAGAGGGGACCCAGAACTACCCAGAGGAGACCCAAAACCACCCAGAAAGGGATCCAGAACCACCCAGAAGAGACCCAGACTGTCCAGAGGGGAGAGTGGGGACCTGGGGCCAGCCAGAAAGGGACCCAGAACGACCCAGAGGGGAGAGGGAGACCCAGGAGCATGCCAAGAGCACTGGCCATCTGAAAGTCCTGAGTCTCTGGGGGGAGGCAGGCAGCCAGAAGCCCAGCACAGGCCCCAGCATCAGCCCCAATCTGTCCCCACCACACACATGCCCAAGGCAGGTTCTTTATCCCTGGTCCTTCATTGGCAGCACCTGCCCTGACTGGGTGTCCATGGCACCTTTAAATGGGAGTGGGGGGTCCCCGAGAACCCAGCCAGGGACCTTTGCTGGCCATGGACAAGGGCTGCAGGCCCCAGGGGTGGGCAGGCAGGACAATGGCCAGAGCTGTAAATGCCCCAGGAAGTCTGTCCCCAACTCCATCCCCATGGCCCTGCTGCAGGGACAGCAGGGACAAAATGCCAGGCCCACCTGGATGACAGGTGGCCTTTGCCTGGTGGAGGCCTAGCCAGAACCCAGAGGGGCCACCCTGTGGGAGTCCTGGGTTTCCTGGGAAGGGGCTGCCCCCTGCCCCCAGCAGCCCAGGCCTGAGACACACCCTCAGGGACCCCATCTGAGGCTAGGGACCAGGGTAAGACACCCAGCAGGCCCCTGCACCCACTTGACCCAATGACCTCTCCTGCAGGTGTGTCTACCTGCAGACCCCCACCACAGTGGGCTGTGAGGGCCAGGGGTCCGGAGCACCCAGCGAGGTGGGAACGAGGGAGGACGGGACCTACCATAACCAGCATTAAGGGACTGCTCTGCATGCTGAGCTTCTCCCCTGCCCCTGAGCCAGCACCCCTGTGTGCAGTGGAGAAACCAAGGCTCTGAGCACAGACCAGATGCCCTGGGGTACCCAAGTCTTCACTCAGACACCATGATAACACCACAGACCAGGAGGCTTAAACACTTATTTCTCAGGGTTCTGGGGAGAAGGTGCTGCAGATTCCAGGACACTGGGGTGTCTCTTCCTGGTACAGACACAGCCAGCGACTCAAGGTGTCTCAGTGAACAGAGGGCAAACCCCAGGAGCCCGTTCCTCCTCCTCTAAAGACACTGATCCCTATGGGGACTAGAGGGATGATCTCAACTCAAATGGTCCCCTAACCCAGCATTTAGGGGTTCCTCACCATCCTCCAAAGTCCTCCTGGCTGTCCTGTGACCCTCCATACCTCACCCTCCTCCTCTGTTCTGCCCCGTCCTGAGATCCTCATACCTCACTCTCCTCCTATGTCCTCCGACCCAACCTGAGATCCTCCATACCTCACCCTCCTCCTCTGTCCCCCTCCCTGTCCTGTGACCCTCCATACCTCACCCTCCTCCTCTGTCCTCCCCATCCTGTGACCCTCCATACCTCACCCTCCTCCTATGTCCTCCTCCCCAACCTGAGATCCTCATACCTCACCCTCCTCCTCTGTCTTCCCCATCCTGTGACCCTCCATACCTCACCCTGCTCCTCTGTCCTCACCCCCGTCCTGTGACCCTCCATACCTCACCCTCCTCCTCTGTCCCCCTCCCTGTCCTGTGACCCTCCATAGCTCATCCTCCTCCTCTGTCTTCCTCCCTGTCCTGTGACCCTCCATACCTCACCCTCCTCCTCTGTCCTCCCCCCTGTCCTATGACCCTCCATACCTCACCCTCCTCCTCTGTCCCCCCCATCCTGTGACCCTCCATACCTCACCCTGCTCCTCTGTCCTCACCCCCGTCCTGTGACCCTCCATACCTCAACCTCCTCCTCTGTCCCCCTCCCTGTCCTGTGACCCTCCACAGCTCATCCTCCTCCTCTGTCTTCCTCCCTGTCCTGTGACCCTCCATACCTCACCCTCTTCCTCTGTCCTGTCCCCGTCCTGTGACCCTCCATAGCTCACCCTCCCACTCTGCTGTCTCTGTAGGGATCCCAAGTCACTGGCTGCAGTCCCGCCCACACATCCCTGGGCCCTTGTGGGACATTCGCTCTCCTGGGTGCTCCGTGTGTCTACTCAGCCCCCGTGACGTGTCTGACCTTCCCCATGCTGGCTGTGTCCCATGGTGCCATCTCCCTAGCAGCCCTGACAGGAAGGAGTGGGTGTCCCTGGGCTGTGAGTGGTCTGTCTGGGGAGCCCCATGCTCAGAGGCACCCCCAGGCCTGAGCGACCACCCTCCCGGCGTGACCCTGGAACCACCCTCTTGGGAGTGGGGTGGGGGCTGCGAACTCCACGGCCCTGGGAGCCTCTTGTGTTAGACGGGAGTGCTTGTGAAGTGGGAGTGGTGAACTCTGCGGGACGGGAGGGGGAAGCTGGCTGCCCTGCTCGCTGGCCTTCCCAAGGTTTGCCACTGGCATGCTCCCAGGGGGAAGGCAAGCATGCTCAGTCTCACTTCCCAGTGTTTCCTCTGGACACCCGGTGGATGGTCCCCAGGACAGCGTGTCTGCAGTTCGCAGCAGAGGGACCGTGGCGCAGAGTGGGCAAGGTTTGCTTGTTTCCACGGCTGACGGGGTCACAGCTGACTCTCCTGAGCACGTGACCAATGGCCGTGAGACCACAGCCTGCACAGATCGGGCATAAAACGGGGACATGAATGGGGAAAATGTTGAATTCCAAGTACGGTCTGGAGTTCGGTTTTGAAAGAACGTGCAAGGGGTTAAAACTACTGGGTGTGGAGGGGGACTGGGGAAGCTGCGGGGGGGGGAGGGGGTGGTACACAAAGGTAAACAGTGGGAAGAACCTGGCCCCATGGGAGCAGTCACACTGTTGCCGTTAATGAGCTTTGGAAAGAAGCTCCATGCCCATCAATGCCACGTGGACACAGAAATGACGGTGTCCTTGGGCAGGTCAGCGCTACACAGCACCTTTTAAAATGAGGGGAGGGGCGCCTGGGGGGCTCAGTCGGTTAAGCGACTGCCTTCGGCTCAGGTCATGATCCTGGAGTCCCGGGATCGAGTCCCGCATCGGGCTCCCTGCTCGGCAGGGAGTCTGCTTCTCCCTCTGACCCTCCCCCCTCTCACGTGCTTGCTCTCTCTCAGTCTCTCTCTCTCAAATAAATAAAATCTTAAAAAAAAAAAAAAAAGGTGAGAAGACGGGGGCGCCTGGGTGGCTCAGTTGGTTAAGCGACTGCCTTCGGCTCGGGTCATGATCCTGGAGTCCCGGGATCGAGTCCCGCGTCGGGCTCCCTGCTCGGCGGGGAGTCTGCTTCTCCCTCTGACCCTCCCCCCTCTCGTGCTCTCTCTCTATTTCATTCTCTCTCTCAAATAAATAAACTCTTTTAAAAAATAAATAAATAAAATGAGGGGAGATTGTATCCACGGACTTAACTCTTAAAAAGATGATGTCAGTCAGCAAAGCAAGGGATCAAGTGAAAACCACACTGCGAAGTGGGGCTCCTGTTCCCTGCACCTCTGCTGGTTCCTGGTGCCCCCACCGCCCGCTCTCGGCCACAAGAGGCTGAGCCTGTGGCCAGGAGCTGAGGGCGAGGGCCAGGGGTCAAGCAGGGGAAAGGGGCCCACAGCGAGGTGGTGAGGGGCTCCTGAGGAACA